CGAATTCTCTCCGGAGAAAACTGAGTTGATTCTTACAGTTACAGCTTCAACTAAAGGGTAAAACAATCACTCAAAGTATAACTTTCAAGTACTTAGGTGCCTGGTTCGATTCCAAAATCACTTTTTTTTTCCTTTGATTTGTTTTCCGTCGATCTTGTTTTCCGTGCTGAGCACCAATGCTACCGACGTGCCAGGAAGGCAGCTCTCCCACACCTGGACCCTACCTATCGACCCATCAACTCATGAACCGGGGACCAACGACTTTACTTCCCTGGCGCGCCGACTGGGATTGAACCCAGGCCTGCTGGGGTGAGAGGTAATCACGCTTACCAATATTGATTCCAAAATCACGTGGCGAAAACATATTGCGTATGTGAAACAAAAATGCCAACAAAGAATCAATTTTCTTCGTACAATTACTGGAACTTGGTGGGGAGCACACCCGGAAGATCTGATCAGGTTGTATCGAACAACCATCTTGTCGGTTCTTGAGTACGGTAGCTTCTGCTTTCAATCCGCAGCAAAAACACACATCCTGAATCTGCAACGGGTTCAATACCGTTGCCTCCGAATCACGCTTGGCTGTATGCACTCAACGCATACGATAATAATCTTTAGGATTTATATGTGATTTATCAAACCACCTTTCTATTTTATTCTATTTGCATAAAAATTGAATTCCTCCTTCAAAACTTTAACTGTACCTTATAGGAAAAAGTCTCAGGTTTCTAATGGCGTAATTATTTCCAAAACCTGTAAGAGGTAAGCTCATGAAAAACGCATTTTTAAAAATAAATTTAATACAGCGGTAACATTTTTTGAACATGCCAAATGAAAACCCAAAATTTCCCTTTACTTTAGTGTTCGAATCTTAGCTTAGTGGTTAATGTGTTCAAAGAGTCACCGGCATTGCAAAACAAATTGAATTCATACTAATTTTGAGATTATAGGGGAGACGTTCCTATTATGGTGTGTTCCAATCATGGCATATAGAATTTCATAGGCTAGCATCTTTTCGAGATCCTGAAGATCATTTGGAGGAATCTTGGAATTATATTTTCGAGCTAATACTCGTGATTCGAGGATCAAATTATGTACTTACTTATATGTTTAATGGTAAACGAATGTTTTATAAGAAGCACATCATCTGGAAGGAAAAGGAAAGACATGATTAAAATAAGCTGGAATTCTTATAAAAAATCGAGATAAACATTTTTTTTCTGATATAACGTCGTACTTTGTTCTGCAATCGAGTGCCAATCAGTCGATCGTCGATTGTTGATTTATCACTGACGGTAATTGAGTGCCAGAGAGTCAAATTCCACACCTGTAATCTATTATTGGCTTTATTTCGGGTCCGATAGAATACGTGACCAGAGATTTTTTTTTTACTTAGGAAAATCTTAGCGGCCTCGGCTGGGATTGATCCCAGACACAATGGGGTGAGGAAGCAGTTATCGGCGGCCGTCAAGAAAAGTGAATTACTTTTTTGAGGACTGTGGTATCGGATCTAAATCAACCGACTCTGACTCTTGATTTGAAACTAGCCGTCTCCGACTCCGACCCCCGACTCCGACTTCGATTTGAACAAATGACTATGAAAATGTACTTTTGAATTTCGGATGAATAAGTATTTGAAAAAAGTTTGTAATTTTAAGCAAAAGAATGGAGAATGGCTAGGAAATTGATTGATTGATTTTTAAAAGATTATTCGTATATTTTTCAAACAGATCCTTGTTTAGTTGCCAGTACTCTTGATATGATGTCTTCGATCTTATCCTAATCTCGACTGCAACGAGATGGTAAGGGACGGGAAGTAGTGTACGTAGTCATAACGTGTAATAACATTGGTAATTTTATAAGAAGTTGGACACAACTTCAAACAAAAATGTCACCACTTATATATACCACTATATGATTAACTTGAAACTAAACTGATCCCTCAATTTTTAACAGAATCATTCGCCATTTCTCAGGGAGCTGCATTACACATCCAGATTCATCACAGTTTCAAACAAAATTCAAGAACTTCTAATCAAAAATAAAAACGTTTTTCAAAATTGATAACATTTGAACATCCATTTGACTCAACTTATAACAAAATCGGTTTCCAACAAATATGGTCAATGAAATGATCATAATATTTTGTTTTATCTTGTTTTCCGTACTGAGTACCAATACTACCGACGCCGGGTAGGCAGCTTTCACACCTGGACCCTACCTATTGACCCATCAACTCATGGAGCGAGAACCAACGGCTTTACTTCTCTTCCGAAGGAAGGCGTGATCAGAGATTTTATGCCTCAGAAAATCCTGACGGCGCCGACTAGGATTGAACACAGGCTCTGTGCGGTGATAGGCAATCACGCTTACCACTAAGTAGGGTAGCATTGGTACTCAGTACGGAAAACAAGATCGACGGAAACAAATCAAAATTATGCTTAAATTGCAATAGTATAGATTAGGAGAGCATCCTCGATCCTGATAATGTTGGAACCGCTGCGCAAACATTTTCACATGTCTTGGCTTATGTCATTGACAGGCACGTTCCGAAAAGAGTTCACCGTAAAATTTCTCATCCTCCCTGGCAGACGTGTGAACTGCGTAGGTTGAAGTCGACCAAGAGAGCCGCATTAAAAAAAATTCACTTAGTATCTTACGCTTTCGCTGAAACGTCACTACGTTAGGCTCAATTATGAGTTCAAGCGAGTTAGCCGTCGATGCTATTCGCGATATCAACGAGGGATTCAGAGGAAACTCAAGTCGCACCCGAAGTCATTCTGGAATTACGTAAATAAGCAGCGCAAGGAATCCGGCCTACCCTCTTCAATGGTGTTGAATGGAGCAGTTGCTTCCACTCCTAAGCAGATCTGTCGCTTGTTTTCTGAGAAGTTTGCCAGTGTTTTCACGAATGAGAGATTAACTGACGAACACGTTACCCTAGCAGCTAGTAATGTTCCACTGTACGGTCAAACACTGGGTGCGATGGATGTCAACGTCGAGATGATTTCCACTGCCGCATCACAACTCAAGTCGTCCTTCAATCCAGGACCCGATGGTGTTCCATCCGTATTCCTGAAAAAGCATATCGCCAGCTTGCTGATGCCCATGCTTGACCTATTTCGATTGTCCATCTCGAGTGGTACATTTCCATCTTGTTGGAAATTCGCACATATGTTTACTATCCACAAAAAGGGCAGCAAACGGGATGTGGACAATTTTCGTGGAATTACGTCGTTGAGTGCAGTTTCGAAGTTATTCGAGTTAGTTATCATGGAGCCTCTACTCTCTCATTGTAAGCAGTATCTAAGTGGTGATCAACACGGCTTCACTTCCGGTCGTTCTACTTCCACAAATCTGCTGTGTTTGACATCGTATCTTACGAAAAGCATGGCAGAGAGGACTCAAACAGACGTCATATACACCGACTTGTCAGCTGCCTTCGACTTGGGGTCAGCGGCAACCTCATGCGATGGTTTCGTTCATATCTCACTGATCGGCAACTGATGGTTGCCATTGGTGACAACCGGTCCAATATCTATCTAGCTACGTCAGGAATACCTCAAGGAAGTCACCTGGGACCTTTGATTTTCTAACTCTACTTCAATGACGTGAACTTGGTCATCGAAGGCCCACGACTATCGTATGCAGACGATCTTAAAATCTACCTACGAATCCGCTCGATTGATGACTGTCACTTCCTTCAACGTCAGTTCGAAGCCTTTGCCAGCTAGTGTATCTTGAACCGAATGGTGGTTAACCCCACAAAGCGTTCAGTGATCACTTTTACTTGGAAGAAAGAACCAATCACATTTGAATACAAACTTATCGGCACTGTAATCGACCGTGTGAACCATGTGAAAGATCTGGGTGTTATTCTGGATTCTCAACTTACGTACAAGCAGCACATCTCGTACGTTGTCGACAAGGCGTCTAGGAAACTGGGATTTATCTTCAGGATAGCAAAGAATTTCTCCGATATCTACTGTTTGAAGTCACTGTACTGTTCCTTGGTGCGATCCATTCTGGAATATTGTTCTGTGGTCTGGAGTCCAAACTACAACAATGGTGCTGAGAGAGTTGAGTCCGTTCAACGCCGTTTTCTTCGATTCGCTCTGCGGAAGCTGCCTTGGATAGACCCATTTCATCTGCCCAGCTATGAAAGTCGTTGCCAGCTGATTGATCTGGAGCCTCTCCGAACTAGAAGAGACACCTCTAGGGCCCTGTTCATTGCGGACACTTTACAAGGTAGAATTGATTGCAGTGCAATCTTGGGGCAAGTCAACATTAACGTCCAACCCCGTGTGCTACGTAACAACGTTATGCTGAGATTGCCACTTCAGCGCACAAACTATGGCATGAACGGTGCAATAGGTGGGCTGCAACGAGTGTTCAATCGAGTCTCGGGCATCTTCGATTTCCATATGCCTCGACAGCTGCTACGAAGATACTTCTCATCGTTCTTTTCTGGCACAGTTAACCGTGAATGATTGTGTGTTTATTTATGTATTTCATTCTTAGTTTTTATGTTTTGACTTACCTAAATAAGTTACTTAAATCATCATTGGGGCTATACACAGCCTGTTGATTCAGACAAATAAATGTGATTGATCTCATTTGCAAATAAAAATAGCCAGGCATTCGAACAAATATGTCTGTTACTTATGAAAAAGGTCACAATTTATTACGAAAATTTGGCACAAGTCTAACGGAAATTTTTTCACACAACAACTACGTTGGACACAGATTGGAAATAAGCTTTCTGCAATTATGATATTTAAAATGGATTATGAAAGTCTTTTTAAAAAAAAATTGAAATTTTTATCAAATTTTTAATTGTGCTCTAGTAATTTTTTTACACATAAAATCTTCCCCTAACTTGCCTTTTTTTGTTGGTCTGTAATATGAGGACGTTTGTTAAATTGTAATCAACAAAAAATCTATGCTTAACCGATACATGTAAGTTTTCATGATAGACATTGGGACAATCTAGTTTAAAATTATAATTCATTTAAGTTGGAGTCGGAGTTGGAGTCGGTGTCGGAGTTGGAGTCGGTGTCGGAGTTGGAGTCGGAGTTGGAGTCAGAGCTGGAATCGGAGTTGGAATTGGAGTCGGAGTTGGAGTTGGAGTCGGAGTCGAAGTTGGAGTCACAGTTGGAGTCAGAGTTGGAGTCTGAGTCCTAAGCTCCTAATCAATAACTGTGGCAGGGCTGTAAAGGACACCTGGTTGAGAACCGGCAAAACGCTTGAAAAAGATGCGCCAAAAGCCAAGAAGAAGAACAGGCTTGCAATTGACCACTGCAGCTAAAATATTATTATTCGTATTATAACCTTAATTTTTATATGTAAGATGCAGGAAGAGGAGATAAAGTTTGTTTATGACACATCAAACCTGTCATTTTCGCTTCCAGAGTGTCACAATTAGCGATAAGCTATAACGATGGGCGCTCACTCATCACGATTGCTCATTGCAGCCAAAATCGCTAATTGTGACCCTCTCAAAGCAAAATTGACAGGTGTTGTGTATTATACACAAATTTTACCTCCTCTTTTCGCATCTTACAAATGAAAAGTATGGTTATAATATCTCATACTTTCATAATTCCGAATAATAAAATTTTAGCTGCGATGACCAATTGCAAGCATGTTCTTCTTCTTGGTTTTTGGCACATCTTTTTCAAGCGTTTAGCCGGTTCTCAACCAGGAGTTCTTTAAAGCCCTTCCACAGTTATACATTTAAAAAATATGATTATAATATGTCATAGTTTCATATTTTCTAAAAGTTGCATTTTAGCTATAATGAGCATTTGCTACACTGAAGAAGTAGAAGACATTTAAAAATGAATTATTATACAAGTTGTTTCAAGATCAGAGACATGAAATCCTTCGGCCCCGTCCTTCAATAATAGTTCAAGAAATTCAAGATTAATTTCCACTAATTTCTAATTTCTTAATAAACCTATTTTACAAATTACACCTAATGTGTAAGATAGAAAAGCAAAGCCGCAAGCTAAAATTAGCAAGACAAACATTTCTCAATGCTAAATGTAAATCACACGCAACGCAAAAAATAATAATTGCTACAGATGAGTGTTATTAAATAATTAGACAAATTAGTAATTGAGTAATACCCCATTCCAGGCCACCCTTCTTGCGAACATACTTATATCGAAACGTTTTGCCACCCTTAGGGCGTTCGATTGCAGCCATTAATAGGTAAAACTCGATCAGCATCGATACTGCCGGAGGCGGTAACGTCTGCCACTGTACTGGAGAACAAATTAGAGCAATCATCTTTTGCGGCCAGCAACCGTAATAATCATCGACGAAATAATGTGCAGCTTTAGCTCTTGAGTGCATCTGTTTTGCCACCGCCGCCGGTCACGACACGTCGTCAGGTGGGTGGCACAGTTTTCCGCTCTTCGATCGACGACACCACCTCTCCTCCGCCATCTTTCGTCGATTACGTACAGCAAAATAAAAACGTGAGCTGCTCGGGAGGAAAACTGATTAAGCTTGAGGCCACGATCGAGGAGAAGATCGGTTTAATTGCCTCGGTAAGCGCGTTCGGATTAGATAAGCTCCGCCGGCCATTATGTGCGGAGAAGGCCTGCGAGAGAGCTTTAATTGTAAAAATTAGATTATTTACTTTGGCGCTGAACGCAGTTATCTCCCCGCGAGAGTAGCATGACAGAGTTAATGGTCGAGTGCAGATGACGGAGGAGATGGATTACTTATGGAGCATTTCCAGGCCAAATAGCAAAGAAAAATCAATTATTAACATTTGAGCTAAAGCTCGGCCATTTTGAAGCTCGTTAATAAAATGCAAAATGGTGTATTTGATATTTTTCAAACAAATCATAACACGAAAACATGACTTCCAATCGAGATGTCGTTTGAGGCAAAGTTGTAGGAAAAATCAGTTTCTTATGAGGAAAAATGCACACTTTAAAAATTAAAAGTAATTTTTGTAAATCAATAAACAAAAATGTATTATAGTCACTTTAACACGCTTCTTAGGTCTTGTTCAGTTATGAGATTTGAACTTGTGAAATTTAACGTGAGAGGCATAAATGCAAAACACTACGCCGGGCCTCTCTGTTTAAAACTTAAATAACAAAAAAAGACCCTAATCAATATTTTTTTAATATTTTTCATAAGTAAGCTCAATAAAAATGCTTTTTGAAATTTTCAAGCTGAACATAATAAATTAACAATAGTCATAAAACCACAAATTTTGGACAAATTTTGAAATTTTTTATTAATGTGCTTTTTTTATTTTTGAACAGATTTTAAACGTACAAAAAGTGGATCTCTCTGTGCAAAATTTCATAATAAAATTAGTTTCAACCAAAAGTTTGAAAATTTGTCCAAAAGTTTTAGATAATTTTCATTTTATTTTAGAGAACCTAACTTGAAATTTTTACAAAAGATAGAATTTTCAAAAGTTTTTGAATGAAAAATATTTTTAAAAAAAGATTGTAACTTTTTACTATTTAATCTTTTTTTTTTCCTGAAAATGGATAATTTTTTGCTACAACTCAGCGTCAGACGTCATTTCGGTTGGAAATGGCATTTTCGAATTATGATTTGTTGACAAACATCGAATACGCCATTTTGAATTTTTTCGCGAGATTCAAAATGGTTGAGTTTTAGCTCAAATGTGAATGATTGAGCATAACAAACAATTATGCAAAGCTTCATGAAAATCGATCTGTCATTTGGCGTGGAACTGCTCGATGGTGTTTTATTTGGGAGAAACAATTTTAATCGTTTTGTGCCCTTCCCTACTCCAAATCGAGACGCACTTCATCCATCATAATCGCGACGGGTTCGGATAGGCAGTTTTGTACTATTTCGATGTTCTGCTGCCTGATGGTGGATATGTCAAGCGACAAAAGCCTCAAATCAGTAATCAGGGCCCGGCACAGACTAGAGAGAAAGGAACGGGAACAATCGAAATAGTGACGCGCCTATTTTTTCCGTAAGCGTCGGTTTCTAAACTACAGCCAGACGTAAAGTTTAATGGCTTTATTTTCTTGAAAGTAACCACTCTGCGATTTATGCGCACTGAATATGCACTCACCTAGTATGTGCATCATTCATCGTATGTACCTACATGTGTAATTACTTCACTCTGGCGCGTCATTACGATTATGCCGCTCTGCTTTTTTCCTCGTTTGCACATTATTCATCTCTTTTGGGACGGAGATTGCCGACTGAATGCATCATCAAGTTGAGTTCAGGGCAAACTCAGGCTGGGAATGATGGGTTTTGAGGCTGGAGTTCGTGAAACTCTTCTGCTAATTTAAATGGGTGCACAATCTAAACGCCACGGATAAAGTGCCAGGCACAATACATCTGGATCTGATCCGTTGCGGCAACTCTGACACATCCGGATGCAGTGTGCGCGTTGAGCCCTCCTGTGTGAATAAACTCACATGCAGGGATTAGAACTACCAATTTTACACTTTTCCTACCGAGAAACACAGATTTTAAGTAATCTTGAAAAATGTTCAAAACCTATGTTTTGTTTTCCGTGTAGTCAGTCAATTGGGTTGGTTAACTTCGAAAAAATATACCAATTTTTATGCATCATCTGATAGAGCTTCGTTTACTGAGCACAACGATATTCTGGTTTATAAGACGTAGACAGTCATCTCGATTTTTAAATCAAGATTTAAATTTTTGATCGTTGACAGCTCGCTCCCATACAAAGTTCCACCAGGGGGTGCTAAGATGGAGATTTTTGTTTATGTAATCGAACTTATTTGAAATAGTTCCAGTGTACCAAAATTGACGAAATTTTGGATTTCGGTTCCATTTTTTATGCAGATAACGAATATGTATTTACCTCAATACCCCTAAACAACCCAATTTGATCGAACGCGATGCGTTTTGCAACTTCAATCCAAACGGATGAGTTTTCATTACGTTCAATCGACTTTTTCTGTCTGTCTCCTAGCGGAGATGCTATTTTCTGTTTCTCCCTTTTTTGGTTCCTTATTCCGTTCGTCCTACTCACACTTACAAAGTCGGTGTATAATGAGTCACACCAAGAGAAAAACAGTTGAACTAGCATCACGGTTTTCGAAAGATTCTCTTTCTTTTCACTTGGCAGAGGACTTCTACATCAAATTCAAATGACTTCTAGCGAGAAAAAAAGAGCGGCTATAGTAAATCATTATATCAGTGATTATGTCAAATTATATTAACAAAAAAATATAAGAAATTCTCATTGCTGATCTGATCATTACCAACTGAAAACGTATCCCATGACAATTTAATGCTCACTGCGTGTTTATGATCATTTCTTCGATTATATTTTATATTTTATTGCAATACCTTTCGACAGCCTTGTAATATTTGTTTACACGGAGAAGAAATACTACACAAAATTTTAGTTCTTTTTACTTAATATTGAGTTCAGCTTCTCACTTGCACTCTTTATTGTTGTCAAAAACGGAACGAGAGATTCGACTCAACGATATAAACGCTAAGATGCAAATACCTAAAAGTCGGTAAAGAATACCTAGATATCGGTAAAAATTACCGATAATCGAAGAAAGTGTACATACCTTAATTATCGGTAATCATGGATTACCAATAATTAACGTTAAAAATGTCCTAATTTATGCTAAAAAATATTATATTTAAAGTAAAAAGTAATGATACCGACAATTTTTTACCGATAATTTTAGGTAATCGTAGAGTGTAGTTCAGCCCAATATGTTACTTTTTGGTAAATTGCATATTATCAAATCTACGTAAATTAAACTTAATTTTGGGTAGAATATACTTAAGAGTAAGTATTTTTTTTCATTGCTGTTTAAGTTTCCAAACTACTATATGCGATTTACTCAAATTTGGGTTATTGGGCTGAACCCCGGAATTGAGTGAAAAGTACTTAATTTTGGGTAGTTTTCCAGTGTAATTCAACAGTGTACCTTGCTAGTAATGTTCTAAAGCTGCTACTGCTTTCAAATAAGTCGATTTTTGAATTTTCTGTCATGTTCGAAAATATTACTGTGCAATTATTTTTTGCACAGGAGTCTAATTTGGTGCAAAATGCGCAATACCGATAATGAAAAAAATAATCTGGTTACCCTGGTCCTGCAGTAAACAGGAGCAAGTCAGCGTTTAAAGGTGGATCACTGCGTGATCACTTTGACAACCAGCG